TTCCTGTGATACAGATCCAATTCGCCTTCAATTTTATAATGGTAACATGATAAAGCTAGCAACTGTTCTGACTGTCAGAACAAAGACTGTAATGTATCTGAGCTGATGATGTAGGAGAGCAACCTGTTTAAAATAAACTCATGCCCCACTTTTATTGTTTGAATTAAGATTAGCTTCAAAGATGAGGAAGTAAAGATTAGTTTGATGGGGTTGGGCAAGACCTTCTCAATGTGTCATCCTAGGGCTTGCCAAGTTTAATTTGTTCCTTTTCTTTCTGTTGGAGAGACTCTGTCCTCATGGTCACAGTCCATTGGAAAGAGCGACCTGATAGTGACAGGAAAGTGAGCTGGGTGAGGCAGTGGAAGTGCCATGTTACTGCTCTGTGAGTACACATGGTTGCTGGGCAGCAGTTGTACTATTCATCCTAGGTGTCATAGCTGATTTAAATATTCCCTGCTTGAAGAGAAGGAAACCAAGACTGGTCTGTGACTTAGTCACATTTTGCATGAGCTGCGCCAACATAAGGAACAGATCCTTCCTGAGCAAATGCTCTGTTGCCAGGGGTCCTGTCCTCTGAATTAAAGGTAACGTAGTTGCTCTGTGAAGGCGGAGAAGCACCAGACATCAGGGAACAAGTGCAGAAATAAGTGCATTCACTTATTGTCACCCTAGTTCTGTACCAGCAATGCAGTGCTGTTGTAGTTGTTATGCTACCGCTGTTGCGAACTGGCTTGCCTTCCCAGTGAGCTGTTTCAGTCTTTACCTTAGTGGATTTCCACCCTACACACATGCTAGGGACAGAAGTGTTCTCTCTGTAATTACACAGGAAGTCACTGCTATTTTAGGAAGGCCTTGGGGCTTCAAAGTACATTTTATAGCCATGATTTGGTCAGGTCAGCCTTCTGATATTAAAAAAACCCCCAAACAAACCAAAACCAAGCAACCCCCCCCAAAAAAAAACCAACCCCAAAACTGAAACCAAAACAGAACACAAAAAAACCTCATATATGAGTTATCTTTTTGTATTCAAACCCTGAGTCTGGAGGTGGTGGAAAAGGAAAACAGTGAGAAAATCCACAATGTAGTGAGAATTTTACCATCTCTTCTGAAATACTTAGACAAAGTGGGGTGTTTCCTTAGTGTTTTATAATATGTGTAAATAGTGTTTTTCAAAGTTATGAAAGCTGCTTAGAATATTAAACTGAAATATTATATGGATTAATGTAAGAATATACTGATAAATGCATTCCAGATTAGGTGTCATGAGTCCTGCATCCTCTGTGCTGACAATTACTAGTGGAATTTCTGAGTGGAAAAATCAGCTAGTATGCTACTGGTAATATACTTACTAGGATTAGTTTGTTTTCTCTGCCTTTTCAAAAGACAATATTTTCAAGCAATTTGGTGCTCATATTGAGGTTAATTTAATAAGTAATTATTTTGTCAAGACAAATTCTTGTAGCCACGCTCCCGCTTAATATTAAACACCCTACTTTTTCAGTGAATATTAGGCAGAAAACAAATTTATTTACCTCCTAAATAAAGGAATGTATAGGTAGTATCATATTTTTGGAAACAAGCAACATTCTTTAAAGCCATTTCCTAAAATAGTATCCTGCACAATATTATTTAAAATTAAGGCAGGCTAGTTTCTTCATAGTTGAAGGAAGAAAAAGGTTGTAGTTATTCTTTTATTATACAGTATTGTACTTTGTTCCAAATTTCAGCAAATGAGAATTCCTTTAAGTGTGTTTATTTTATAACCTATTTTTTTCTGAGAAAAAATATGGATTTTTTTTAAATTTGTAATACTTTCTTCGGGTGATGTGATAGAAGAGGAAGAAAAAAGTGTGCTTAAAAAAGGTAGCACTTTACTTTAAAACAGGATATTGCTTTGCTTTTTTCATTGATTTTGTTTTGTTGGTGTGTTTCACCACAAATGAATGTGGTGCGAAAAGCTGTAAATGGAAAAAAAAGTAAAGATTCCCATTAATGTGGGATGCAATTACTTTCTTGACACAGAATTAGGCTTTTGTAAGCTTATGAGGAGGTTGGCTGACTTCTCTGGCCTTCAGTGTTCTCTCCCTGATACTTTCTGTTCTTGGTCTTGACTCACCAAATCATTATAATGGCTCAAAATTGGGTTGCACTAAAAATTTAAAAATTGTCCTTATGACTGATCTAAGAGTCAAGAAATTCATGATGAACTGTGAATTAAGGCATTTTTGATCAAGAGATTTATTTCAGGGTTGAATCTTCAAATGAGATTGAAGCCTAGAATGGCCCAGAATTTGATAACGTCATTCCCCTTTTCTGATCTTTTTGTCAGGGCCAGGAAGATCAGGTCATAGTTCTCTCCTCTTCATACGAATGAAAATCATCCAAAGAAGACAATGTAGTTTAAAAAAAAATAGAGACTAGAAAGAGAGACTTTGAAATCTTTTTGATGGGAGGAACAGCTTTGTTTGGTCGTAACAAAAATACTACATTAGCAATTTTACTAGATGTATTTCTGTGAATTGGATGATGGAGTTCTAGTTCTTACTCAAGACTCTTTGGTAGTTAGATGACATCTAAGTTATACAGAGATGGTACTGGCTGACCTAGATATGCTCAAGATTTGTATTGTGTTTTCTGTCTTGTGAGTGGTGGATCAGTGCGTTATGGAAAGCTCGCCTCGATAAATTTGTAACAGTGAAGACACGCTCTAATATGACACTTTCAGACAGGAAACAGGTGTTTTCGAGAAACAGTGAGTTGTTCTGCTTGGAGTTCACCAGAAGGCTGGTCCACTTGAAAATTATCTGGAACACAAAAAGGAAAAGGCTTTCATTCTCAGGTAGACTGTGACTTCCAAACAAATTGCCAGCCATCTCAGCTAATACTGGAAAGATCAATCATTAAATTACTTTACAGATTGTATACTGAAAACTGGAATATAATCTTTTTGCTCTAGGAGTGATGACTGGTGAACATAGCAATCCTTTGCTTCCATACACTTTTGTCCTCTGCAAAAAGAGGAAAGGAGGTTTCACTTAAGTTTAACTCTGATCCAGAGGACTAAGTTAATCACCACATATAATCAATGAAAATAATTAAGAACGTGTAATTTGATTAGTTGAAATGCAACTTTTAGGTTTTAGACAACTGCTTTAGAATTAGTTGAATTCTACTTTTGAAGTACCTATTTCTCTCCATTGCTTATGTAGAGAGCTTAGGATGACCAGGCTGTATGTAGACATGTACATTTACAGCTGAATCCCACTGGAGAACTGTTGAATTTTGAAAGCTGTAAAAAGGATCAGGTAGAAGTCTTGGAGAGTTGCATTCACTAATTCCTGACACAGCTTTTCTACAAGAAGCTGGCAAGTTCAGAACAAAAGTGACCTGGCGTCCATTTTAAATCTTTTGGTAGTGCCATCTGATAATTTTTCCATTCTTCAGTGAGAGAATTAAAAGGGATAAATTATTAACTAACACCCTCACCCTTCCCAGGTTTGTGCTATTTTCAGTGTCAAAAGCACAAAAGAGCTGAGGGAAAAAGATGTCAGAAAATTAATGAGAGATTGTTAGTCCTCAAGATAAATTTGCAGAAGTAAAAGATCTCCTACATCCTTACTTGTTCTACCAGTTGGTCTCTGAATATTCAACTCCATCTGTCCTCCAAGACTAAAGGGGATCCCGGCATCACCTGATTAGAGGCCAGGATGATCTGGAGAGTCCATTGAGGGAGAAGAATGGAGTTTGCGGGCTGAAGAAGAGGAGAAGACGTAGCTTGAATGGTGTTTTGTTCTTTATTTTCATCATAGCTATGATGGACTAGTAAGCCCTACTATTAGACTTGGCTTCTGATCTAGTCCTCTGTTTATAAGTTATTTAAATCATGAAAGTTTTGATACTCAGTTTTAGATGTATTTGTTGTTCTGCCTCTTCTAGTCTTTTGTGTTAATGGGCCACCTGATCAAATCATAGCTGGAGCCAAGTCCACCAAACAGTCCACCCATGTCACTCCGATTTAGAGGG